CTCTTCCCTTCCCCCTCCTGTATAGGCCTCTTCTTCCAATCAAGCATTTATCAAGGGCTTATTATGTGCCAAGTATTCTGCTGGACAGAGGTGTCAAAAAAAATCTTTATATTGCACAAGTCTAGCCTGACCATTTCACTGTCCTGCTCAAAAAGTCTTCAGTAGCTTCCTGTTGGCTCTAAGGTACAATATAGACTCTTGAGCCTGGCATTTAATGCCCTCCACAGTCTTGCCCTGATTTGGCTTTCATTTTCTATTGCATTGCACATTGCAGTCAAACTGGACTATTAGCTGTTTCCTCAACTCATTGTACTATCTCCCACTGCTGTGCATTTATAAATACAAGCTTTCCCCCATGCCTGGAAAGCAGCCCCTTCTCATCTCCAGTTTTCAGAATCTCTCTCTCCTCTGAAGTTCAACTGAGGCAGCGCCTCTTCCTTGAAGTCATCCATGATCTCCCCAAACCTGTAAGTGTCCTCTCCCCTAAATATCCCTAGAACACTTTAGCTAGTCTCTCCTTTGCCCCCTTCACCCTGTTCAGCCGCCTGCTCAGGAGAATCATAAGCTCCTTGAAGTTAGGGATTGGTTCAATTTTCCCTGTATATCCTTAGCCGAGTGCCTTAATTAGAGTAAATGCTGAATAAATATGTACTGAATTGAATTGAGGATTAGGGAGTGACAACGGCTAGGTGATCCTTTGGAGGTGTTGTGGAGGGGGATTCATATTTTAGATTTGGGTTGGCCTAGCTGACCTTGTCCTAGGTCCCTTCCAACTCAAGTAGTCTCTGATTCTGTAGAGGAGAAGGCAGTGAAAAGGAGAGCCAAATTCACACTGTACTTCAGGAAAGGCTTTGTATCTGAAATGCTTGAAAAGGGAGTGTTTTATTAGGCATAGTGCTTTCTGAATTACAGATAGTCTTTGTTTTGAAGTTAGGGGGAAGGTAAGAGGTAGATTCCTACCTTTTACCCCTCTGGTGGAATTTTAAAAATTCCAAGAGCCATGTAAGGGATAAAAGATTAACAAAGATGACCAAGCCCCATTATAAGGATATTTAATAAAAGGGACTTTTTTTTTAAAGATCAGAAATGGGAGATAGTGTGGAAAGATCATTGGATTGTAGGAAGGAGGATGGGTGGATGGGACAGTGATAACTGACGACAGAGAAAAGAGAGCTGCTCAATTCTTACTCTGCTTTTGTTTTCTTAGCCAAAAAAGAGTGACCTTTTAGATGGGAAAGGACAGGACATCAACAAGAAATTGTAATGTGATGGACAAAAAAGCTAGTGTGATTCTAGGCTGTACTAAAATAAGAGGAGTTGGGGCAGCTAGATGGTGCATTGGATAGAGCACTGGCCCTGGAGTCAGGAGGACCAGCCTGACACTTACTAGCTGTGTGACCCCTATTACCTCCCCCCCCAAAAAAAACTCTCCAGAAGTGGAATAGGTTCCTAGAGGAGGAGAAAGAAGTAGTTAAGGTTCCCCTTTTTACAGGTCTTCCAACAGAGGCTAGCTAACAACTGTCTGGGCATGTTACAACACTGAGGATTCCTTTTCAGGTACAGATTGAATTAAGTGGTTGATGAGGTCCCTCCCAAAAGAAAAAAAAATTCTATGGATCCAACTCTTAACCCTGACATTTCTTGTATTTGTAAAAGGAAGGAGTTGGCCTCATTGACCTCTGTGATCCTATCTAGCCATAAAACTAGGACCCTATGATCAATGATCCTGTGTCATGGTCTCCTCACACCCAATCTTAAATCCCACAGTAACTTCTAGTTACGATGTACTAGTTGTGGTTGTGGTGGTTGTTGTTGAGTAGTTTCAGTCATGTCCAATTCTTGGTGACCCCATTTGGGGTTTTCTTGGCAAAGATACTGGAATGGTTTGTCATTTCCTTCTCCGGCTCATTTTACAGATGAAGAAACTGAGACAAACAGGGTTAAGTGACTTGCCCAGGGTCACACAGCTGTTAAATGTTATTATGTATATATGAAGATGTATGTTGCTGTATGTATGTATGAATGTTTGTATGTAAGATGCTGTCTTGTGAAGATGAGTCTTCCCAACTCCAGGCCTACCCTCTATCCACTGCACTACCTAGCTGCCCTCACTATATACTGTAGTTACATAGTAATCCCATATTCTTTAGTAACAAGTATTGTTTATGAGGTAAGGGAGTAAAGAGAAATCATTTATTACTGTTTTTAATTCAATTCAACAAACATTGAATTACTGCTCTGGGCAAGGGGCTGACTGAGCTAAGAGTTGAGGGAAGAGGGTGAGATATAGAAACAGCAGCTCCATCTCTCAAGGCTCTTTCTTATGTCCTGATTTGAGGGGAAACATCTATACTATTGTGTTTACTGGGTGTTTTATCTAAAATATCCTAGAGTTGGGAGTTCTGCTCCTTGGTCCCATATGCCCTAGTTGTTTCCCCACCTAGACTCTGACCAGTGTCATCCTTCCCTTTCAACAAGTTGGGAGATCCCAGACCTAAGGGCAAAGAGGAATTAGCTGTTCCTGGGAATTGAGGTTTATCACCATTTACTCGGGAGGGCAGTTTGTTTAACAAATAACCTTGGAAAACTTAACTGAACTTTACCTTTTCCATCCACTGCCTCCTGGGAGAAACTTGGGAGAGAGACCTTGGGCCAGGGCCAGTTTTTTACTTCTCCATCTGTACAATGGACGTGACCATGAAAATTAAAGTTGCCGGTGACTTCATCTTGCAGACTTCCCCCCTCCTCCATTTGAGAGAGGTAGCAGCAGTCTGGAGGATATGGCCCTTTTTACCAGGCTACCTACAGTGGAAATGAGGTACTCTGGGAATGGGTCCAGTGGACCACAGTGGGGAAGCAGCCCCTGGGGCTGAGGAGGAGGAAAGCAAACAGAAGGCTAGTATTTTGCCAGTGCTCCCAAATCTAGCACTGTTGTGCAGGCAGCACCCACCCTTTGTGCTGTATTTGCTGGCTGGGGTGTTGGGGCAGGCCATATGTCTGCTCTGTTTGTCACCTCTCCTCTCTTTCCTTTTCTCACACCGTCAGAGGAATCTAGTTTTCTGCTTTGCAGTGGGGGCAGGGGTGAGGACACTGAATCTCTGTATCTAAGCAAACCAAACTTCTTTACAAACAAGAATGGATCACTGTGAGAACAATTCACAGTGTTTGTGGAGTTTGCCCAGGCCTTTCTTGGGCCATTTCTGCCTTAAAGCAAAATGGGATTTCACAGACTCTTGGAAAGCTTTCTCCATGTCCCCCTTTCCCCCTCTCCCCCCTGCTATCCTCTCCTCAGAATCTCACATTTCTGCTTCATTCTTTTAGGCTAAAGTTTTGATTCCTCTTAAAGTGCAAAATTCCCCTTTAAGCTGTTATAAATTATTTACTCCTTGGTAGGAATGAAAGCTCTGGTTTGCTGGAAGAAAGAGCATAAGGGCATTGATGTGTTGTGTTGGGGGTAGGCTGGGGGGGGGGGAAGACCGTGAAGAAGGAAACCAGAGACTTCGAAGACAAACTGCTGAGTTGGCAATTTGCTGAGGGCGGGCCCTGAGTTTGTGATTTTCTATTATCTCTGCCCTTGTTCATCCTTCCTTTTACCCCTCAAAAAACAGCCCATACAGAAGCAACAAAGACAAAAACTGAAATCCCAAACCCTGGGTAGTGAAGAGCTGATTGGGATCAGGACCTGGGTTCTAGCCCTAGCTTTGCCGGTCCAGTTGTGTGACCTTGAACCAGCCACTGCCCCTTCTCTCTGCCTGGGTTTCCTTCTCCTTCAGATGAGGACACTAGATGACCTCTGAGGTACTTTGAAGCTCTGTTGTCCTCTACTAGCTTCTATCCCTAATCTGATAATGTGATGAGGATAATAGTATGTTTGCCTATTTGTTTACAAAATACCTTGTGTCCATCATTTCAGCATTCCTCCAAGTGTAGCACTGCCTGTATCAGTATGCTCATTTTACAGATGAGGAAACTGAGGCACAGGGAGATTGACTCCCCTAAGGTCACCCAGGCAGTAAATGGCAAGTTGAGGATTTGAACCCTGCTCCTGTGACTTCAAATCCAGTGGGTTGTTGTTGTTTCTGCCACAAGGCAGCTACCTCCATTATCCTGACATGATGGAAATTATGGTGGCAATAACCATAATGGGAGTGAGTTTTCAGGAGGAAAGGGGAGGGGGAGAGGGAAAAGGAGAGAGAAGGGGGGAGGGGCAGGCAAAGTCCAGGTGTTTGGGAACGCTAAAGAAAGGTGAAGTTTCAGCTGGTGATGAGGAACGTTGAGACTGTGGGTACATGCAGTAAGCATAGGGGAAGGAGAAACAATGGTGAATGTAAAGTGAGCTGGATGGCTGACCCCAAAGAGGGAAGAAAAATGAAAAATCAAGGCAGTGACTCGAGATGAGTGGCCATCGGAGGGAGAAATCCAGTGGGATGCTGCTTCTCGGGCATGGAAGGTTTCCTAACCATCTTGTTGCCGAGGCAAATGCTGGCAGGTGGCATCAAGTCAGGCGGCTTTCGGGCTGTGTCTTGTGTGTGTGTGTTATTTTTTTAATGGCAATTTGAGAGCCCTTGGCTGGTGGATTGGAATGTGGCAATTATCACAAGTAGCCAGCACTGTCTTCAGTAAGTTGGGTCTGTACGCCTGTATTTCCTCTGAGGCTTTTGCCATGAGGTAAGCTCCTAAATTCAGCAAGCAAATTGGCTCCCTCTCCTCCCCTCATACCCTCTCCCTATTCCACTCCCTCCCTCCACCATTCCCTAATGTTTCCAGACCCAAGGGAGAAAGACCATGTTTTGTAACACTATCTTCGTGTCGTCAGCAACGTGACGCCCAAAACTGGAAAAGTCTACCCATGGTGTAATTACAGAAGGCTTCCTACTCCTCCCCGACCCCCCCCCCACTCCTGTTCAGTTCCCATTGTTCAGGTTGGCAATGAGGCTTCCTCTCTCCCTCCCCAACCCCCCACCCCCACTTTTCCTCATGAAGGTGTTTTCTCCATACAGGTGAAAGAGCTTATCCTGGACAACTGTCGGTCATATGATGGTAAAATTGAAGGCCTCACAGATGAATTTGAAGAACTGGAGTTCTTGAGTACAATCAACGTAGGCCTCTCCTCAGTTGCAAACTTACCAAAGTTAAATAAACTTAAGAAGGTAAATAAGAGTAATTGGAATGTGTGTTGCTGTGTGGAGGTGGGGAGTTATTATTTTATATTTGAGGAGAGTAATTGAAGTTAAGTGGTTAAGTGCCAGATGTCTGCTCCAACTTGCCGGATAATTTCCTGTGACTAGTAGCCTTGCTTTTTTCTGTGGGGAGCGTGGGGACTGAGAAGGGAGGTGGAACTTGGTTGTTTTCAGTTGGGTGTGCTAATGTGAAGTGGTGGCTTTTTTCTTGTTTCCCTGCCTTTTTTAGCTTGAACTAAGTGATAACAGAATCTCCGGAGGACTGGAAGTATTGGCAGAAAAGTGCCCAAACCTCACACATCTAAATCTAAGTGGAAACACAATAAAAGACCTCAGCACAATAGACCCGCTGGTGAGTAGTTAGTATGGGAAGCCCCTCATCCCCAGAACAAAAACCAAAACCCTAATGGAGAATAACAATAATCTTTACACTTGGTGTCACATTTTATCATTTCCAAAGTGCTTTCACACACATTCTCACGTTATCATCATCACCAGATCACAACGTGATTGACAGGTAAGATCTGTCATCCCCATTTCACAGAGAAGAAATTAAGTCCCAAACCAGAGGCAGACCTAAGGGCTAACACTCAGGCCCTCCAGCTCCTAACACAGTTTCCTCTACGCCACCCTGATATGTTCTAGGAACTTGAGGAACCTCTTTGTGCCTAATTTTTCTCATCTGTAAAATGGAGAAGTTAAACCAGGTGATCTTTTAGCTCCCTCTCTGGCATTCAGGAATTAGCTTCTAGGTTCTAACCAGGTGTCCTTTTGGACATGAATCTGCTGGGACAGCTTAGATTTACAGTTTTTGTAGCCTCACGGGGAAAGGGGACCCAAGTGAAAAGGGTTCCCATTTCTTTTTCCTAGATATGCATCTGACTTGATGTGACTCTGAAGGCTGCAAACCTGGCCAGACCTCACAAATTCACATTAGTTGCAAAGGAGAGCAAGTCTGAATCTTAAATATGTATTTTAAAATGCTCTTTATCACTTTAAGTGGCTTAGTAATTGGTGGGAAAGCTAGTAACTAGAATTAGGTTAACAAAGTGTTACCTGGTTGAGATCCTGAGGGGACCTGCTTTAATGAAAGCAGAATGATTCCCGATTAGATTAACACATCTGTTGGAATGTAAATGAGTGTTTCTGAAGTGCCTCAGGATACTTAAGTAGTCTGTTCTGAAACAGCTGAGCTTTCCCCCTGTAATCTTGTCCATGTTGTCAATTTAGTTATCAAACCTTTTCCTTATAGATCTTGCAAATCCCAGCCCCTGTGAATGAATTTACTATTTTTGCATTCCTGGGATGAGAGCCCAATATCATCTAGATTGGGGTGATTAGAAAGCACTTCTGCAGCCCTGGAATGTGGGGGCTAGGTGAAGTAAAACACAAAGAAGGTATTTGTTTTGAGCTGTATCTGAGAGGGACCGAACTGGTTCCATGTGGCAAATTTGCTTGAGCCTCAGTTTCTCCTACTCTGCAGTGGGGGTACCAGTACAGGTGAGCAGGCACCACCTTTGCTTCTTCAATCACATCAGAAGAATACAAATCATTACAGCAGAAGGATCTCTAAAACAGAAACCTAAGCCCTCGTCTCCCAATCATTTCTACTAGATGATGAGAAAACCTCATCTACTCTCTGTCTAAAGGTATCAGGTGATTGAGGAATTCATCACCTTCTGAGGTAGTTCATTCTGATTGCCACCTGGAATAGGAACAGCTTTGGTAGGAAGAAGATAAGCATAGGATCAGACCAGCATCATAGGATTAGAGCTGGAAAAGGATTTTGGAGAAATCCTTGGATCTGTGGGCAGTGTGTGCTCTCTGTAAGTAGAGATTGTGGAACGCTTTGTATGTTCGTTTTTGTATGCCCCTCACCTAGCATAGTGCCTGGTACTAGTAGGCAGTTTATAGTAGTTGTTTCTTGATTGAATAGGGTCCCTGTGAACTGCTTGTGGCTCAGTGATTATTGGCCATCTTAAATACCCAGACTGTGTGAGCCACTGAAAATACCATGGGAAGACTAGCTCACTAAGGAGATCAAGCATGATGTGTTTTCTAAACTGGGCCACTAGGTGGTAGAAACCTGCTTTTGGTGGGTTGGAGACATCGGGCCATGAAGGCCCACCCCCAGACTCTGTCCTCTGTTGCTAGGTGTTAAGCCATGCTATTAGTTAGTCATATCCACTTGTGGCAGTCACGTCCTTAATTTCTGCCACCTTCTGTGTTTTCCTTCTTGCTTCCCTTCCCTGTTCTGTTCATTCAAAATGTGGGCTATTTTAGAAGAAGAGCACGGGATTGGGAAACCAAGAGGCCTGGGTTCTAGCTCAGCGCTTAACTAGCCGTGTAACTCTGGACCTCTCACTTTGCTTCTCAGAGGAAGGCTTCATTTTCTTATCTGTCAAATGGAGACACAAGAACCTTGCCTGCCTCATGGTTCTTGGGAATTTAAAATGAGATGCATTACATATGAAAGGACTTTGAGAAAATAAAAGGCACTATACAACACAAATTTTTTTTTAAACTAAACTTGCCTGGGAACCAGAGAGCTATTCTGATTGGGGTGTAGCAAAGTTTACTTTTTTCTTCTTGACTTTTATGAGTGAGCAGATGGGCCAGTTTTACTTGAACCAAGTGATAGCAGAATTTGAGGACCAGAAGTTTTGTCAGAAAAAGCTCCTAAACCTCACACATCTAAATCCTGAACGGAAACAAATTAACACCTCCGGACAAAACTCTAGACTGTCCCTTTGGCACTCCTCTACTGGAGGTGGGGACATGTGGCCACAATTTGGGCTACAGGAAAGAGAAGGGACACATTTTGGAGAGCCCCTAGAGAACTGAGAATTGGTTGTAATCATTAAAAGGCCTGCACAGATATAGCACTTCTGTCTTAGGGAAGCCTTTTAGCCCACATGGGGTTAATGTGGTTGCTAGATTAATTTTGCTTTCAAGGGGTTAGTGGATAGATCTTGCCTTCATCGCCACCCACTTAGGCTATTTTTAAAAGCCTCCCTGCAGATCCCACCTCTAGTTTCTCTCCTCTCTAATCCATCCTTAACAAAGTTGCTAAAAATATATTTCCTTATTCACAGATTCAGTTGTCACTCCGGCTAGAAAACAGTCTTCAATGGCTCCCTATTTCCTCTTGAAGAAAATTCTAGTTCCCCTTTTCTGGTATTCAGAAGGCCTTCCACAATCTGGTGGCCATCATATCTTTCCAAGCCTTATTTCTGATAACTCTCCTTCATGTCATCTGCACTCTACTCAAATTGCACTGTGCCCTCCCCACTCCTCTCTTTTCCTTCCCTCTTCTCTCCTCCCTTCTCTTCCCCTCTGCTGCCCTCACCTCTCCTACCTTTTCCTGCTCTCTCCTCTCCTTTCCTCCCTTCTTCCCTCAGCTGCCCTCTACTCCCCTTTCCTACCCTTTCTCCTCTCTCTCTCTTTCTCTCTCTCTCTCTCTCTCTCTCTCTCTCTCTCTCTCTCTCTCTCACACACACACACACACACACACACACTCTCTCTCTCTCTCTCTCAGCAGTTTCTATACCTAGAATGTCCTTTCACTTTGTCATTTAGAGCCCATCTCAAAGAAGCCTGCCCTCACTCTCCCCATTCTATCCCATCTAAACACTCTTTCCCCTCAGACCTCATATAGTAATTCTCATATCACGTAATATTATATGCTATATATAATTAAGGGTGGTTAGCCTTCTAATAAACTTCTAAGGTCCATGAGGGCAGAGACCATGCATGGTGCATCTACATTTTGTATTGTTGACCATGCTTATTCCACAGTAGAGACAATACATATTTGTTAATTGTTTCTGAGCCCAATATTTACTTCTTTGACTTTCCTCATTTTGAATTCTAATCCCCTCATATCATTGATTCATTGTTTGTTTGCTTTTTACTTTCAGAAAAAGTTAGAAAACCTCAAGAGCTTAGATCTTTTTAATTGTGAGGTAACTAACTTGAATGACTACAGAGAAAATGTGTTCAAACTCCTCCCTCAACTCACATACCTTGATGGCTATGACCGGGATGAGGAGGAGGCCCCTGACTCAGATGCTGAGGGGTATGTGGAGGGACTTGAAGATGACGAGGAAGATGAGGACGGTATGTAACTCACAGAGAGCTGATATAGTTGCAGGTGCCTTTGACCTTGACACTCAGGCTCTTGGGCCTCTGCTGTTCTTTGCTTCTTCGTTTCAGAGAATAAGCCAGGAACAGGTAAACAAATGCAAGAGGGCTTGCTGTGCTCTCCAGAAAGTCACTGAGCTCATCCTTCTTCTCCCAGACACCTGAGAGTGTGGGGTGCCTATCTATCCTCTTTCCAAAAGCCTTACTGGGAAAGAAATTCCATATCCCATAGTATCCTGTAGGAGAGTGAGCAACCCTTAACCCAGGTGACTTCATAGTCATGAATAGAAAGGGTGTGGCTTCAACCACAAAGCCTCTCAAAGGGTCCTAATTCACCAAATCCAAGATGAAAGCAATATAACCGGAATAATCCCTGTTCCTTTGATTTCTGTCTTTTCCCAAAGTTCTCCTTGCCCCAGGGAAGGAAATTCTCCTGGGCCTCAGTGTAGTCTGGCCCAGGGTTTAACCATCCTGTCTGCAGGGAAACTGGGCAAAGGAGGTTAACATGGGAAGTGAGAGTGCCCTTCCCCTACCCTCCATAGTCAGTTCAGTTAAGGGTTAGTGTCCCCTTCTGCTGACTTTACCTCTTTAGCTGTGGGGGAGGATTGGCGCTGTGCTCTCCCTGATCACCTGAGGCAGATGATGTCTTCACTTCTCTAGGTGTGGGGGCAGAAAGATCACCTGAATTCTCCTGGCAGCTGTGGCCAAGGGAACTAAAGGATTACCCAGGTGCCCGGGGTGCAGAGGACTTTGGCAGTAAAGGCAACAGCCAGCCAAGGTGTACTCAAAAGCCAGAGTGAAGTAAATTTGGGGAAACAGCTGTCTTCCTTTACAGAACCCTCTAGAGAGATGAGAGAGAAAGAAACTCCACCTCCTGGTTTTCCCCTATATTTCACATTGGCTTCAAGATCTGTGTCAGTCTTGCAGCCTTTGGTGGGGTTTTTGCTGCCAAAGGGAAGTAGAGAATTGAGGCAATCATCTGAATATTTCAGACAAAATATTTATTTTATTTTCCTTTTTAACTCAAACCATCATATTTGCTTTGGCAGGGAAGTTGTCTCAGATCTTTCTAGGTCCTGTGAATCGTTGCACCCATGAAGGTAGCAATTTGAATATGGTCAAGTCTCCATTTTGTTTCATTCTAAGGGCTTTTGACTTTTCCAATGACCAAATAAGAAATATTTTGTTCTTTATGGCTACAAAACTTTTAGATTACAAGGTTTTTCATATACTATTTAACAACATTATTATTATAGATCTTTCTTTGTTTTGTTTCCCCCTAAAGCCAGAGGATGCAGATAGAAAGCAGTCAGAGGTAGGAGGATGATGTGGAAACATTAGTGCAAATACTGCTATTATTGTTGGTTATACATTCTAACAACTCGGGTCCTAGTAGTCTCTAGAGCACATATGGAAGAGGAAGGGACTGGCTAATCACTTTGATTCTGGCTCTGATTGTGCAGAGGAGGAGTATGACAAAGATGCCCAGGTAGTGGAAGACGAAGAAGATGATGATGAGGAAGAGGAAGGAGAAGAGGAGGACGTGAGTGGAGAAGAAGAGGTAAGGCAGCTGAAGGCCACAGTGGGGTGGGAGGATTGAAGCTCTCATCCAGAGGTTCTGTGCTGAGCACAGATTTTGAGCTGGAAAGGTTTCCAGAGGATTCCAGATGAGGAACTTTTGAGGCTCAGAGAGGTTGATTGACTTGTTAAGGACCACACAGGAAGTGGCTGGGATGGGATTTGAACTCAGGCCTTTCTGACACCAAGCCCATTGCTCTCTCCCCAACTGCACCCTGCCAGCTGCTAATTTAATATGATATAGTCAGAGAATGTTAGATCTGAAAAGAGAGCATCCAGTTTTGCAGATAAGGAAGCTGAGTCCCAGAAGAGGTAAAGTGCTGGCTAAAGGTACTAACACTAGCCATTGGGTCCAGATAGAACTAGCCCAACTACCAGACGAACCCCAATGTCCTAACTCCCAGCCTGGTGTTTCTGCTGCTAACATTAGACCCACTACCTAATTTCTTTTACAGATCTCTTGACAAAGAAATGTTTTTCTTTATTAAAAAAAAATCCCAGGGCTTCTTTATACAAGTGGGCTCCCTTCAGTATATTGAAGACAAGTTTCTATATGCAGAGATTCCATTTCTAACTGATTTTTTTTTTCAGGAGGAATGTAAAGTAAAGTCCATTAAAAGTGAAAAGAGGTTCTCTTGCTTGGGATAAAATAGATATCAGCTTGGCCATTGGTCCTCACCGTCAGCATCCCAGGATATGTAGAAATGAGTCCCACGGGGTGGTGGAGTGCTAAGTTCCTTTCATCCTTCTTGTTTCTCTTCCCATGATTAAACAAACAAAACCTATAAATACATACTTATTTTACTTATTTATCAAATCCTGGCAGGCCAGAACAAGGTCCTGCCCCTTCAAAGAAAGAAGCTTAGCTCAGATAAGAGGGCAATAGAAGAAAGCATTGAATTAGAAGACAGGAGATCCAGATTCTGGTTCAAGTTCTGGCCCTTCTTAGCTCTGTGACTCAGTTTATCTTTCTGGACTTCAATGCCTATGTCTTTACAAGATGAAGGATAGATCAGATGATCTCAGGGGCCCTTGAAGCTCTAAGACTGTGATACTCCATAAGTTAGTTTATAGAACTCATGTCCCTAAGAAGTAGTATAGAGAGACATGGGTTCTAGTATGATTTAGAAAAATTCTTACAAGATAGACCTTTAAATAGTTTATTAACGGAACTTGGTGGCATTTGAGGGATGTATCCTTAACCTTTTGAATTCAGTATCAAGGAAAGCAACTATTCTACAACAAACCTTCCCTAGACTATGAGGCCTCCCCTGACAGGCTTTAACATTTTTGATGTTCTGTCCTTTCATTCTTACAGGAGGATGAAGAAGGTTACAATGATGGGGAAGTAGATGATGAAGAAGATGAAGATGAAGTTGGTGGTAAGTCAGCCATTTTATTTTCATTGGGAACAGAGATGGCCAGGTAGTCACTACCTTTGCACGTAGATCTCCAAGTATATTCTCCTCCTCCACGAGATGTGATGGGGCCCAGGATGAGCCAGATATAGTCTCTGTCCAAAGACTCTGGTTGTCTCTCCTGCTTTGCAGAATGTATATGTTTGGTTTTTTGGGTTTGAAACAGACCAGGTTGGGAATAGTTGAACATGTGCTGGGGTGTACCTCATCTAGCTCCTTTCTCAGTGACTGTATTCTGTAAAAAGAGACAGGGCATGCATATAACCTGGATCATGCTTTCCCCCCCACCCCACCCCACCCTTTTTTCCTCTTTTAGAAGAAGAAAAGGGACAAAAGAGAAAACGAGAACCTGAAGACGGGGGAGATGAAGATGACTAAATGGAATAACCTATTTTGAAAAATTCCTATTGTGATTTGACTGTTTTTACCCATATCCCCCCCCAACCCCACCCCCCCAAAACTTATTTTTTTCTGATTGTAATGTTGCTGTGGGAATGAGAGGGGAAAAGTGGATTGGGTGGGGGGTGGGAAGGGGTGGAATAAAGTACTATTTTTACTGCCGCTCTTAAATTTTTTTTTCCTACTTTTTCTTTGTGTCTGGTTTAGTCCCCGTAAATGCAAGTATAAACCAAGTGGTTCTATCTGTTTCTTATTCTGGGAGTAGAGAGTGTTGGCATCCTCACATTTTACAAATATTGGTGGGTGACATTTCCCCAGATGGGCAGCATCTGGGCTTGGGCTTGTCCCATCAGGACCGGGGGTGCGTATGGAATACCAGCCATATTATAGGTGCTACTCTGGATGGCACAGGCATGATCACCCACCCACCCACCACAGCAGGGGGAGGCCGCTACACTGAGCAGGTGATGTCTTGTTTCTTGTTCCTGAGTGACTTACCACTTTCAGCCTGGGCTGCCCCTGTACCTCTTTGGAGGATCGGAATCATGTGTGTGGTTTGTAAATAGCAACCAAGGGAGTGGTTTGATGGTGGGGTTGGGTTTTTTTTGGAGGGGGGGGTGTGGTCTGGGTTTGAAGAGGTATTTTCCTGGCCCCTCCACAATCATGTCTCTCTCTTTCTCTCTCTTTCCCCTCCTCACTCCCCAAATCCCATGCTGGGTTCTGTTCTTTGAGAAGACTAAGCCGTCCCCATTGTATTGACTAGGGGAGGCGCCAGAATGCTGAAAATCGCAGACATTTGGAAGGTGTCCAAGGGTTCTCAAGTCCTCTGAGTTCTACGGGAAATTAATTTGACAAATGTAATTTAAAGAAACAACATTTTTTTCCCAACCCTTTTAAAAGAAGGGACAAAAACAAGGTGTATACTGCTTGGTTTTGTATTATATTATGACACTCCAGCATTTGGGGGAAAAAAATAAGAGACTTCCACTTGTGCTTCTATACTTTGAAAATTTTTATGAACCGAAGTGCAGGAGATAGCACTGCATGTAATGTAGGGGTTTCTTTTTTAGTACACCCGAGCACGGAAAAAACTAATGCAAAATTGTATTTTCTTACCTAGTGGAAGTCTGAAATGACTGCAATTGCCTAGTGAATGTACAGTTTTTCTTTCCTATCCCTCTTTTGGATCGCTTTAGAAGTGACTTGTTATTTCCTAGTCAATATTTCATCTGTATAAAAGAACATTTGCAACAGCTCCTCCCCTCCCCCAGAAGAGCCAAACTTTTGAGTTTTATGTCTGTTTGTCATTGATAAATTTCAATAAATCTTTTTATACAATTTTTTGGGGTGGCTTATTTGAGTCTGATGGCCCACTGGCTGTTCATGAACACCTTCCAAATAGCCTATTATTCCTCAGGAGGAATTCTGCAGGATTTTTTGTATTTAATGAAGCTTATTTTTTCCAATATGAAATGTAACAGGAAGTCCAGCTGGGTCAAAACAGCCATTGTTTTTGACTAGCAAGCCAAAAAACAATGGGATCCTCTCCTGAACTCTTGAATGGTTATTCTTATTCCCTATCAGGGTGATGGGAGGCTAGAGTGTGCTTTTGGGGACTTAGGGGTTTTATACATTTTGTCCTGATCGTTTTGCCCCAAGCTGCCAAAGCAAGTGCTTTTTCTTCAATTAAAAGAATGTCCATAATTTTAGTAGTAGTAGTAGTGGTAGTAGTGGTGGTAGTAGTAGTAGTAATAGATAATGGCATTAATTGGTTACACAAAACCATGGCTATATATAACATTATAAGCTGGGCCTGGGGTGAGAGTTGGCAGAGGGGGCACAGTTAGTTCCAAAGGAGCTCCCATTTTAAGTTAGCAGTCAGCTGAAACACAATGTAATATAGCGGATAAAGAGCCAGCCTTAAAGTCAGAAAGACTTGAGTTCGGGTGTCAGGCAATCAGCACCTAATTGTGTTCGAGGTACTCTGTTAGGCATACAAAGACATTGGAAGTGAAACAGTAACAGTTCCCAACCTATCTGTGCTTACCTTTTGTTAGGGGAGACAACATATACACATACAGACATATACACTTACTAGTTGTGTGACCCTGGGCAAGTCATTCACCCCCAGTTTCCTCTTCAGAAAAAGGGGATAGATAATAGCACAGACATCACAGGGTTGTTGTGAGGTTAAAATAGCATAACATGTAAAGCACTTTGTAAGTCCCAAATTTCTATATAAATGCTACTAATTACTCTACAAGATAATTTGACAGAAGACACTAGCAGTTGGGGTATCAGGGAAGGCTTCCTGGAGAAGGCAGTGCTTGAGCTACGTCCTGAAGGAGAGTAGATACTCTACAAAGCAGTATGGAAGAAGGGGAGCATTCTAGGAGTGGAGGTTAGCAAGTGCCAAGGCATGGGGACAGAGGGAAGCCCTGCCTCATAGCACCTAAAAACTGACCACAAACACCACTTTACTCCTCAGTTTCCCAAGCAGCTAGGGTGCTCAGTGGATAGAGTGCCAGGCCTAGAGTCAGAAGGACTGCAGTTTAGATCCGGCCTTGGACACTTATTCCCTGGGTAAGTTACTTGAAAAGAAAAATCACTGTTTGCTTTAGTTTCTCCAGCTGTAAAATAGGGATAATAATAGCACCAACCTCCCAGGGTGGTTGTGAAGATCAAATAAGGTAATAATTGCAATGTGCCTGGCACATAGCAATGAGCACTCCAAGTCTAAGCTGTTACTGTTACTGATAAATTACAAGGGATGGAGAGGGAGCTGCCTGTCTACATCAGTGGAGTCCCTGATGCTAATGAAATCACAGGTCCAGACCCTCCCCTCTCAAAAAAAAATGGTACAGCAAGGTGGAGTGGTAATGTATTCATGGCATTTCAAAATCCTGTTGGTCAAGGCAACATTAGGCGGGTCAATGACTTCCATGTTACTGCTGTTTCCCCATGCCTGGCCATGTGAGAAAGACAGCGCTCTGCTGAGAAAAGGATGTTGGCACCAAGAGATTTGGATTCCAATCTTGCCTCCTAGCTGTGTAGTCAGGCCACTCACATCACTTCTTCGAGTTTGTTTGCTCCTCTGTAAAATGACACAAGGCTTGCATTATCCACAGAATCAGCAAAGTGCTTTGTAAAGCACTGTAGAAATAAATGTGAATTGTTAACAGAAGAAGGCTTTCTTTTGTACTGAAGCTCAGTAACCCCTTACCATGACCAGGGCAGACAGAAAGAACTGGCAGGATAAAAGATCCAGTTTCTAGTTCTCACTCTGTCCAAAACATGCTGTGTGACCTTAGGTAAATTATCTCAATTCTCTGGGCCTCAGTTTCCTTGTGTAGCTAAGTTTACTACCCCTACATACTCACTGAGGATTCGATGGAGGGGTCTGGAGCACAATCCCTCTGTGCTCCAAGGAATGTCATGTGCTATTGCATTAGAAGGAAGTTGTGTCCCGTTAATAATAGGCCACATCTCTCATGGTGAGATTGTATGGTTAGCTCTTGACTACATAGGAAGCAGGGGTATAGTTAATCAAAATAATTTCATTTTATTTCAAAATTCTGCAAGTTTTTGTGTTTAATATATTTACCTCTCTATTTTTCTCTTTGGTTCCCATTAAAAAGAACCAAGGAATCAATAACATTAATAGGCTTGATAAATTGAAATAAAGGACAGACTGGTCAGGTTATAAACTTCACAGACCTAATTGAGGAGGAAGGCTTAACTCCTGAGCTCCTTGGGTCCTTCTGCCCCTGGAGTTAGGGGAAGTTAACTACACAAGACATCAAGAAATAGTGCCCTGCTAATAGCTATGCTGTCACCCCAGTGGCCTGGATCCAGACCTTAGTGAGTTGATCAGTGGGTAATAGCAAAGTGCTCATGAGACTAGGTTTGATCCTGGAATGGGTGGGCCTGTTGACTCCATTGTGTCATGGCCACAGGCTTTACTTAAAAAGTCAAGGCCTTCCTTGGTGCGGTCCCTCACTTCCCCTATTGCAAACCTCCAAATCCTTCTCTCTCTCTCTCTCTCTCTCTCTCTCTCTCTCTCTCTCTCTCTCTCTCTCTCTCTCTCTCTCTCTCTCTTTCTGTCTCTCTCTCTGTCTCTGTCTCATGCACACGCGTACACACACACACACACACACACACACACACACACACACACACACACATTCCTCCCCAACTCCTGCCATTCTCTCTTTTCTTCAAGTCTCTGAAAAGAGGCGGCCTTCCTTCACCAAGGTCAGCTCCTCTAATAGCATGTCCTGACCACGTAGGCTGCTTATATTGACAACATGGATAAAGGTCTTGATGGCATACTTACCCAGTGTTCAGATGATACAAAGCTAGGGGAGGGATAATCTTACATAGTGAATGACAGTTAGGATTCAATGAAATCTCCACAGGAGAGAAAGTTGAACCAAATCTAATAAGATTAAATTTAATAGGGATTGCTGTAGAGTCTTATATTTGGGTTTTTAAAAAATCAATTTCACAAGTACAGGATGGGAAAGGTAGCTAGACAATAGTCTGAGAAAGCTCTGGACTACAAGCTCAATAATGAGTCATCCATGTGCTATGGCAGCTTTCAAAGCTAATGGGATCTTAGGTTGCACTGAAAAGCACAGTGTCAAGGACTAGTCCTCCTGGACTCTGCCCTGATCATTTGGAGTTCTGTGTTCACTTGGAGTACCATAATTTAAGACGGCATTGATCAGCTGGAGAGTGACCAAATGGTGAAAGGCCTTAAGATCTAGCCTTAAGGATTGGTTATGATAACTAGGAATGTTTGGCCTAAAGAAGAGATTACTTGAGATGGAGGTGTAGGGAGAATGGGGAGGGAGCATTATTGTCAAGCTTATGAAGGTCTGTCCTTTGGAAGAAGGATGAGATTTGTTCTGCTTGGCCCCAGAGGACCTCACTGGGAGCCACAGACTTAAGCTCAGAGCAGCTGCTTTGGGCTTGTGGTTGGGGAAACTTCCTCACTTCATAATCTGGTCTAGAGGTCTTCAAGCAAAGATGGATGACCACATGTTAACCATGTTGTAGAGGGGATTCTTATTCAGTTGTGGGTTAGACTAGGTGGTCACTGAAATTCCTTTCAACTAATTCTGTGATTCTATTAAAATGAATCTTAGAATATTTGGGCTGAGAGGGAC